AGTTGAAAGTGCTAATTGGAAGGATTTTGCTTGAATTGACTGGAGCAATTAGTGATAAATGCTAGGCCAGGCCTTGTAATTGTGAGGTATTTGAGTGAGCCAGTGAGTTATCTCTAGAGATGTGGCTAGTTAAACAGTTGATTATCTTGAGAGGTGGAGTTTATTTGGAGTGGGGCACGATTTGCAGTCCTAAATAATTGCTTTGATTATAATTTGTTGAGTGCGGTTGGTTTGAAGGCGAAGGAAGTGGGAGGGGTGCCTAAGATCAATCTATGATGGGAATATTTTGTAGGAGGCTTTGAGTAATTGATCAAGGGTTTGGGTATTATGGTTGGTGAAGAGAATATCATCTATATAAAGAAGTATGTAAATAACTGTCCTGAATTTGTGGTAAATGAATAGGGAAGGAGCAACTTAGCTAGATTGGAACCTCAATTGAAGAAGATAGTTGGTGAAGGTATAAAATCCCTGTCGAAGAACTTGGCATAGTAATTATATATATTGTACACCCTTTGCTTCTAAATAGGAGATAATTCCATTAATAAACCCTACGCTTTATTTCTTTGGTGTGACTCTCACAAATTCTATTTCAACACATACATATAGAATTCATATGTACAAATTGACGCGAAAAAGATTAAAATACTAAAGACACACACACACACACACACACACACACACACACATACACACACACATATATATATATATATATATAACATTTTTAAAATTTTTGGGTCAGATAGGGCTTTCGAAAAAACTCGTTGTTCGTGAATAACTTGTGTTCGACTCGTTAAGTATCTCATGTTCGGCTCATTTGTTAAACAAATGGGTCGTACATGAACAAATTTTTTAAGCTCGAACTATAAAAAAAACCGAGCATGAATAACTCTTTATTCACTCGTGTTCGGCTCGTTTTAACTCGAAATAAGAAATTATTAATATTATTTATATGATAATATATTATATATATTTATGTCTATGTTTGAATCATAACAACTTGTGTGGTCATGTGATTTTGCATTTTATGTTACACAAAGTTGGTGTAGGTTCGAATCCAACACCTTATGTGCAAGGAAATTCATAGCACTAAAGGATAAGAAATAGTTGAAAGAAGAGGTACCCGAAAAAAAATCACGGGGTCCAAGGCTAATTGAAGTTGTTACAAAATAACACGGCAAGATGTTGAATGGACTTGATTCAAAATTGACACAAAAATATTGGAGAAGTGACGGTAATGATGACCTAATGGAGGTTGTATGATTTTATTTTTAGATTTTGATGGTAATATTCATCATGAATAACATATGAATCATGACCTTGATCATACCCCATTTTTAGAGTATTTGAGTGTTTTAGAGTTGTTGAAATGGTCATAAACACTTTCGATTCTCCTCGTTGAACCTCTCAATTTGACTGTGGGATTGAAGAATTGGAGATCGTTTGATAGAGTGTTTTAGTGTTGTTGAAATGATCATAAACACTTTCGATTCTCCTCGTTGAACCTTTCAATTTGACTGTGGGATTGAAGAATTGGAGATCGTTTGATAGAGTGTTTTAGTGTTGTTGAAATGATCATAAACACTTTTGATTCTCCTCGTTGAACCTCTCAACTTGACTGTGGGATTGAAGGATTGGAGATCGTTTGATATCTATTGAAGAATTAGAGATCGTTTGATATCTAATTAATTATTATTTCAAAGTTTTTTATTATGTTATAAGTGTTTGATTTAAGCTTATTTTGGTTCGTATCAGATTGCTTTTGGTGTAATTTTATATTAACTAATTTTAATGATAAACAACGGAGAGATACATTTATTATATAGGTGAACATAAAAACTTTATTTTTCACATGTTTTTTAATATATCTTTATTTATATTTAAATAAATAATAATATTTTTAATAGATTCAAAATAATTTTTAGATGTTTTAAATATTTTAAAATTAATTATATTTTAATAAACTATATCAAACATTATCAATACAAAAAAAAAAATTAGAATAAAATAAGATCCCAAATTCCAAATAATTTTATGACCCATGAAAATCCTCTTAAGAAGGAAAAAATATTACGTCTGGACACAAAGCTAAGCCCGAACAACGGGCGCGATACATCGATACAACGGATGGAGCAGAGGAGAAAAAAAAAACAAACCCCGGTGTAGGGGTGTAAACGAGCCGAACACGAGCGAGCCTCAACTCATGTTCGGCTCGTTTATATTTCAAGCTCAAAATGTGTGTTTGTGTTCGGCTCGTTTACTTAGCGAGCCGAACACGAGTCGTTCATGAACAAAGAGTCGTTTTGACAACCCTAATCAGGTAGCCATAAGATGAGGCAAGATTTAAAAATTATTGTTTCTATTAAAACGTCATTTGAATCTAATTTAATAATTTTTATTCTATTTTCTTAAATAATACTTATAATTGATTATAAACCTTTATAACCTTGTAGTCAATTAAGTTTTTTTTAAAAATACTACTCATCAAATATATTGATTTGTAGCATTTCAAGCCAAAACGAGCCGAACACGAACAAATAAATCATTCTTAGTGTGGTTCTTGTTCGACTCGTTAACTTAACGAACGAGTTGAGCACGAGCTTCTTAGCGATGCGAACACGAGCTGTTCCTGAACAACGAGTCGTTTTGACAGCCCTACCCCGGTGTATCGCGTCTGTTGTCCAGACACAGCACAACATTTTTTTCTTGAAGAAAATACATTAATGTTCCTTTTAGGGATATAAACGACTCGTGTTCGACTCGTTTATATTTCGAGCTCAAAAAGTGTTTTCGTGTTCAACTCGTTTGCTTAACGAGCCGAACAGGAGCTTTTCACGAACAAAGAGTCGTTTCGACAACCCTAATTACATAGTCATAAAATGTTAAATATTGTGACAAGATTTAAAAATTATTATTTATACTAAAACATCATTTTAATCTAATTTAATATTTTTTATTCTATTTTCTTAATTAATACTTTTAATTGATTATAATTCATGGTAGTCTTAGTACTCAATTGATTTTCTTAAAAATACCACTCATCAATATATATATTATTATTTTGATCCCCAATTATTGAACTAAGGTAAAATGGGACTTTTGTAATGTGGTACCGCTCACCTACTACATCTCACTTACCGCTCACCTACCTCCCACCTACCACTCTTTTGCTTCTATAAATGGAGAGGGTGTGAGACTTAGGAGAGCAAGGGAAGAGATCTTAAGCTACCACAAAGGAAGAGAGAATAACTAGAGAGCTAGAGAAGAGGAGAGCATCTTAAGACCTTGTATCAAGACATCGCTTGAGAGGGAGGCCATAGAAGGAAGATGAGGGCTCATCTCTATGTATAAGCTATGTATTCTTCATTTCTTTTGCCTTAGTGAACTGTTTGATTGATTCCCTCCCGTGGACGTAGATCCAGTTGGATCGAACCACGTAAACGATCTGTGTTTGCTTGTGTTCTTTGTGTGTCATTTCTATGCCATGAAGTACATATCTCACAACAATTGGCATCCATACTTCTTGGCTAGAGGTGTCCGCGTAAAGGTGTTCGTGGCAGCGACGAAGAAGAGGAGTTCGACATTCACGAACAGAGGAGCAAGCGGATTGCGTCGCCCGCGTCACAGGCAGCCGAATCGAGACAGATTCAGTTAGCAGTAGAAGCTTTGATCGACTGGATTCGAACCGCAGGTTGTGCAGTTCGGCGAGACGGAGGAGGAACAGTCCGCGAGCGAGGGCCGAAAATTTGCGACAGGGTTGCCAGTAGAGGATTTCGGAGCAGGAGTTCGGTCTTGCGAGCAGCTTGGCTAGAGGGAAGAGGCAGATATCGCGCAGAGAAGGGTTCGAGGAGTTCCCTGTTCTGGAGTTCATGAAGCAGGAGGACCTGAGCAGTTTGACGAGGCGCAACGGCTCTGGAGAGGCAATTATTCTCGTGCGAGAGGCAGAGGAGGAATTCCTGAATTGTTCCGCTGGACGCAAAGGAGTGCCTGCAGGAAGGAGACGCGAGCACAATACAGGAAGCTATGTGGCTAAATGGCATGGCTGAGGAGCTTGGGATACATCAAAAGGTGATAACTGTGTTTTGCGACGACCAAAACACCATTCACCTAACCAGAAATCATGTATTTCATGAAAGATCCAAGCATATAGATATAAAACTTCATTTTGTGAGGAATGTCGTCGCCAAGGGTTCAATAGTAGTGAAGAAGATACCTACTGAAGAAAATCCTGTTGATATGCTTACTAAGGTGCTACCGATAGCTAAGTTCAGACACTGTCTGGACTTAGTAAACTTCACCAAGGGCTGAGGGTCTCTCAGGAGCCAGGTGGAGGAAATCTTTACTTCGAAGCTTTTCAATTGAGGGTCAAGATGAAGAATTGCTATTTTGACACTCAATTATTGAACTAAGGTAAAATGACACTTTTGTAATGTGGTACCGCTCACCTACCACATCTCACCTCACCTCCCTTCCACCTACCACTCTCTTGCTTCTATAAATGGAGAGGGTGTGAGGCTTAGGAGAGCAAGAGCATAGATCTTAAGCTACCACAAAGGAGGAGAGAATAGCTAGAGAGCTAAAGAGGAGGAGAGCATATTGAGGCGTTGTATCAAAGTGTCGCTTGAGATGAAGACCATAGAAGGAAGATGAGAGCTCATCTCTATGTATAAGCTATGTATTCTCCATTTATTTTGCCTTAGTGAACTATTTGATTGATTCCCTCCCGTGGACGTAGATCTAGTTGGATCGAACCACGTAAACGATCTGTGTTTTCTTGTGTTCTTTGTGTTTCATTTATATGCCAAGAAGTATATATATAACGAGCTGAACACGAACGAACAAATATTTGTTAGTCAAAATGAGACGAATGCGAACAATTTAGCGAACGAGCCGAACACGAGCTATTCGCGAACAACGAGCCGCTATGTCAGCCCTAAGTCCCCTGAATGCAAAAGTAAAACTCATTGGGCCAATTAACTCATTCCTAGTTCCGACCGATCCAGTCTCCGGGCTCCCCCGTTCCACCACATTCAACCATTGCTGAGGTGAGCTTCTGCCTCCAAATGGCGGCAGCTCTATGTCCCCCTTCCTCCGCTCTCACTGTGGACTCCCCTGTTTCGCTTCAATCTCATATCTTCTTCCCTCTTCTCCGCCTCTGCGGAACCCCAACTGAACTCAAGCAAATCCATGCCTTCACCATTAAAACAGGCATCTTTCACACCCTTCCCGTCGCGTCCCGCATCTCGGCGCTCTGCTGCAACCCTGAAATGGGATCCCTCGACTACGCCCGCTCAGTGTTCGATCAAATTCCCGAACCAAACTCCTTCGCCTGGAATTCCCTCATCAAGCGCCTAGTTGACGACAACCACTCACATTCTGCCCTTCTTCTCTTCAAGAAAATGCTGACTGCATCATCTACACATCCAGACAACTTCAACCTCCCCTGCGTCATCAAGGCCTGTGGAAAGCTTGGTGCTTTCTCTGAGGGGAAGCAAGCACACTCCCTCGCCCTCAAAACCGGCCTTGGTGGCGATAGCTTCGTGCAGAGCAGCTTGGTGAGTTTTTACTCTAAATGTGATAATTTGGAACTTGCTAAGAAGGTCTTTGATCGTGTTTGTTTTAAAGATCTAGTGACTTGGAACTCTTTGATCGATGGTTACGTTAGGAGTGACAAAATCGAACTTGCAAGGATGATGTTTGATGAAATGCCGGAACGGGACTCATTCTCTTGGGCTTTGATGATCAATGGATATTCTAAATGCGGAGAGATTGATACTGCAAGGGAGCTGTTTGATCAAATGCCGGAGAAGAACGTTGTTGCTTGGAATGCGATGATTCATGGTTATATGAAGAAGGGTGATATTGAGTCTGCCCGGGAACTGTTTGATCTTATGCCTCAAAGGACTTTGGTCAGTTGGAATTCAATGATAAGCGGGTTTGAAAAGCTTGGCGCTTTCAAAGAAGCTCTCGAGGTTTATAAAGGTTTGTTTAGGGAAGGAGTTGCACCTAATATTGTTACTCTGGTTAGTGCTCTCTCTGCTGTTTCTGGCTTGGCTATGCTTGAAAGGGGTAGAGAAATTCATGTCTACATTAATGAACATAAATTTAGTTTAGAGGGTGTTCTTGGGATCTCTCTCATTGAAATGTACTCAAAATGCGGAGAAATTGAAAGTTCTTTCTCCATTTTTAGAGGGATAAGAAGAAAGAAGTTGGGTCATTGGACTGCCATGATTATGGGGTTTGGAATACATGGAATGGCAAACAGAGCCATTAAGCTATTCATGGAAATGCAGGAGAAGGGTGTGAGACCCCATGCATTAGCATTTGTTGGATTATTGAATGGGTGCAGTCATGCCGGAATGGTGGATGAGGGACGGCATTTTTTTGGGTTGATAAGCAGCGAGTATGGAATCGAGCCAACAGTCGAACACTATGGCTGCATCGTTGATCTCCTTTGTCGCACGGGAAATCTGCACGAGGCAAAGGATTTCATTTATCAAATGCCTTTGAGACCAAACACCATAATCTGGATGAGTTTATTGAGTGGTTGCCGGAAACACAGGAACGTCGAGATTGGCGAATTGGCTGCGAAAACCGTGATTGAGTTGGACCCAAAAGCTGCCGGAGCTTACGTTCTTCTCTCCAACATATATGCTTCTGCTAGATTATGGGACCGTGTATCGAATTTACGAGAATTGATGAGAACTAGTTCTGTGAGAAAGGAATCTGGTTGTAGTTTCGTAGAACATGATGGTTCAATTCACGAGTTCGTCGTCGGGGACAAATCTCATCCTCAGAGAGACGAAATCTATGCCAAGTTGAATGAGATGAGAGAAAGGTTAACATTTGCAGGATATATTCCTGATAATTCACAGGTTTTGTTATATCTAGAAGAGAAGGAGAAGGCGGCTGAGTTGGCTTACCATAGTGAGAGGCTGGCCATAGCCTTTTGCCTCATAAATTCGAGGTTTACTGCACCAATTCGAATTGTTAAAAATTTACAGGTTTGTAATGATTGTCACAATGCAACGAAGCTTTTGTCGAGTATTTATAACTGCGAGATTATCGTGCGGGATAATAGTCGCTTCCATCATTTTAGAAATGGTTCTTGCTCTTGCATGGATTACTGGTAATGGAGGTCTTCCTTCCATTCTTGATATAGGCTGCTCATTGGTTCAGAAAAAAATTGCTGAAAATCCTTAGGAGGATTGCAGCCGTATTAATCTCTAATTTACTGGGGATTGAATGGAGCTGATTGTGGGCATATCCATTGATTCAACTTCTCCAGGTGACCCGCATACTTTTTAATCTTTCATTTTTTGATTAGAGTTGCTGTAAATTCGTATATATTTTGCTTTAGGACTTCTGAATAATTCATTTATTAACAGCTGTTTATAAGATTGCTTGTAATTAGTGTGTGGGTTTGTGTTTGCTTTTTTTAGTTATTGTTGTGTAGCTTTTTCAGGAAAATGTGATGGAGATGTAAGTGTCTACACTTGTAGGAAGTGTAAATTTGATGTTATGGCTCAACTGTTGGCCTTTCTTTGATGATTAATGATGTTTCATCTGTAGTAATGGGTTTTATTTTATATTGTTTGATGAATATTAGGCTGAGTGTTTATGGATAAATTTGTACTTTTGAAATGATAAGCATATTGTTTAGTAGAATGATTTTTTTTTTTCGGTTCATAGATAACAAAGCGCGATGGGAAGTAGCGTTTTGCAAACTAGAGCATTCATTACTTTTATATTATATATGCATATACTATGTGCATGCGATAATAATTTAATAGCCAAAATTAAACAATAATAGGTGTTAATTTTCATCAAATATAATGATGCATCCAATAACAAAAAGTTCTCAACTATCCGCAAGAAAAAAAAAATAGAATAATCGCGGGAAAATTCCACGCCCTGGCCTCACTCCAAAAGAAAAAAAAATGAAAAGAAAGTGAAATGAAAATGAGCCAGAGTTAGTGAGTTTTTGTGAGGTTTTAGGTCAAATTTTCAGAAGATATGAAATTAGTAGATCAGACATCATCCAAAGATTTCACCCTCATTTTGTGAGGACTTTAAGATTTAGATTTCTCAAAGGCGCAAGCCCCTTTGGATAATTACTTTTGATTGGGGCTAGTCATTAAAGAACCAATCGCTCAACATATAATAACATCAATTGGGGTTTTAAATATATAAATTTATCACTCTGAGCTTATAGTGTATGTTGGG